ACAGGACATGGCGAGCCTACGAAACTCGTTTAAATCAAAGCGAGATACGAAGAACTTGGGGTCTGCTGATATTACTTGCACTCGTGATCAAGAAGACAACACCAAAGTGCCACCAGCGTAGTCATCAACCCCACCGATAGCGCCGACCTCAACGCCTGCTGCTGACATGATTCAAGCAATGTTCGCAGCATTCTAAATAGCTTTGATGACCGCTGGTACAAAAGTACAATCGTTGAGTAAGTCAAATTAAAATTCCCCGCACGAGAAAAGTTTGTCCTAGGGGAATCGTTCACCTTATGGGAAGAACAATGTCGGCGCTATATTCAACAGTTTGACGAAGATCAAAGAGCCTGTGCTATCATCTACTCGTTATCGATACCCGCACTGAAACTCCTCAAGTTATCTGGGGTTAACACAAAGAAGACGGTGGAGGTGGAGGAGCTGTTCACGGCCATGCGTCGGGCATTTGCGCAGCACACCCATGTTCTCAAGCAGTGGGCTGCATTTCATGCATGTGTCCATCTCATCGGCGAAAGTACAGAGGAATACCTCTAGTGGATACAAAAGCTGGCTCCCGTGGCTTTTGAAGGAGAGGTAGAGGAATAGGTAAGCTCCTGTATCCTTCACCAGTTCGAAGAGGGTTTACTGCACGATTAAATGAGTAAACGCATCATCCAAAGTAATCCTATATCGCCCGTAGAGGCACTTCAGGTCGCTAAACAAGAGGAAGCCCTCATTAAGCTTCGTAGAAACCAACGAACAACGGAAGGGTCCCATACGCTGTCACAACTTTGAGAACCGACAGTACCTCGTGAGCGTCTTACAAGAAACCTACACCCAATGAATGGAAGTCTCGACAGTTCTCCCGACCTGCCCCCTAAAGCAAGGCACACCCCGAATCAATCACGCCCGATGGCTGGCTGGACGGGCCCTAGCTTCTCAGAGAAAACTGGTGTGTCATCCCTTGATGTACCCAATGTTATGCGAATTCCCGGGGGCCCATATATAACCCAGCATTTGCTAACTGTTTAAGTGAAATTTCATGGCAGAACTCTCGTTGGCTTGGTAGACACAGGTGCAGCTCGCACGTTGTTGTCCAGCAGACTCTGCAGTGATACACTCGTGACAGCCACCCATCACCTAAGCATTCGAGCGGCCAGTGTGTCTCGAATTAAAGTGACTGGCGAGCTGCTAGTATTGTGGGAACTCATCGCATTTGGCATCCCTGTCTAGTAATTAATTGATTGTCAAGTGGTTTAATCATAGGCTATGACCTCTTACTTAGTTGTAAGGCCTCAGTCGACATTGAAGCCAAAATGATCACCTTATTAGGTTCTACACTGCTATTCGGGTCAGACGGTGGCACCGCGTGTCCGCATTTGAGTGTGAATGCAGTTGATACTGCCTTGATGGAAAGCATGTCAGCACAAGTCCCTGGAGAACACAAAAGAGGGCTGTAAATCGGCTAATTTCAGAGATTTCTGAGGTGGTCTCGTGGTCGTCGGATGACCTGAGGAGAACAACAGCTATCCAGCACACTATTGAAGTGGTAATTGCGCTCCAATAAGGCAGACACCTCATCGAGTCATATCCCACAGCTGGAAAGCATGACTGATGAAATGCTGCAGAAAAAGATAATTGCACCGTCAAACTCACCGTGGGCTTCTCCTTCGTGCTAGTTAAGAAGAAAAACGACTCCTTCTGCTTGTGAGTTGATTACCGGAAATTAAACGCAGTGGCTCGGAAAGATGCTTACCCTTTGCAGAGAATAGGCGAGACGTTAGAAGCATTATCAGGCGCCGCCTGGTTTCCAACCCTTGATTTAGCGTCTGGATATTGGAAGATCGAAGTGCGCCCTTGTGGCCGGCATGAAACTGCTTTTACTATACCCACAGGGTTGTATGAACTCCAGACCACGCCTTTCGGATTGAGTAAAGAACGTTTCAAAGGTTGATGCATACGGTACTTAGAATTCTAGTTCCACAAGTTTGCCTGGCATGTCTAGACGATATCATTGTGTTCAGTCACACCATCGAAGAACACCTCGAGAGACTACGGATAGTCTTGGGACGTCTGAAGGTGGTGGGACTCAAGGTTCAACCAACTAAATGTCGCCTATTTAGAACAGAAGTCACTTTCCTGGGGCACGTCGTCAGAGCACAGAGCGTTCATAGCGATCCAGAAAAAGCTGCAGCTGTCAAAGAGTGGCCCGTGCCGCAGCCCCAAAAATGAGTTACACAGTTTTCTGGGGTTAGCTTCTTATTACCGCCGGTTCGTCAGAAATTACTCAGAAATCGCAAGCCCTTCAACAAGGTTGACTAAAAAGAACATTCCTTTCGTAAGGACGGAAGATTGTAACGGTGCTTCTCAGCAGCTGAAGGTTCGTTATGGACACGGACGCTAGCCACACATCCGTTGGAGCCGTATCATCCCAGGTTGATGAGGATGGCAAGGAACATGTTATCGAATATGGCAACCGCACACTGAGCTGTGCAGAAAAGAACTACTGCATCTCCAGAAAAGAAATGTTGGCTGCTGTTACCTTCATTCGCATATATCGACCTTATTTACTTGGTAAACCGTTTGTACTGCGAACGGATCACAGAGCCCTTCAGTGGTTGCAAAACTTCAAGGACTTTGAAGGACAGATCACAAGATGGCAGGAATACCTCCAGGAATACGACTTTGAATGTGTACACCGTCCAGGCAAAAGGCGTGCCAATGCTGATGCATTATTCAGACGTTCCTTCAGAGCGCATGGAGACTGTTCGTCCTGCGAGAGCACTGACATTTGTGCTATTTCGTTGGCTGGCCTAAGTAGAGAACAGTGGGCACATATCCAGGTCACGGACGATGAGACTGCGTTCCTATATCACGCCTTGTGTAATCAGAGTGGTAGACCAGTCGAAGCCGATGTGGAAGGGAAAAGTTGGGAGACAGGATGTTTGTGGGCATTATGGGACCAGTTAGTGCTTGTGAATGGTATTCTGTGTGTTCAGCCTGGCCCCAATCACTTGAGAAGAGTCGTAGTTCCTCAGTCGTTCGTAACAGCAATTCTAGAGAAGGTATATTATGACTTGTGGCATGCCGGAATTAATAAGATGCTGCAAGCAGTCACCCAACGTTATTAGTGGCCTTGCCAACGGCGCGACGTCCGAGACTTTGTTGAGGGGTGTGCAGCATGTGACAAGGTAAAAAACCCACAGAGGAAACCTAGAGCGCCATTTAGTAATATGAAAGCTAAATATCCTAACGAAGTAATCGGCGTGAACATCAAAGGACCGTTACGTGAGACCACGCATTGGAACTAATACATCTCGATCATAGTCGATTATTTTACGAAATGTTGTGAAGCTGTACTCCTTCAGCGAATTGATACATCTACGATAGCCAAAGCTATGTTCGATTGTTGGGTTGCCCGTTGGAACGCACCAGAGCAATTATATTCTGATCAAGTAACCAACTTCAAAAGTCTCTTGGTGAGAGAATTATGTCATCTATTTGGAATTAGAAATTACGCTAACCGTTCATTCGACGGATTACGAACTCCACAGGAGTACAGCTTCTGAAAGAGAATACCGTGAGATATAATTTCAGGTTTCCTTAGTATATCGAGGTATTGAGCAATAGCTGCAATAGCATGCTTCGCGACTACTGGTGGTGCGGTTGAAAATGTCAAAGTGAGAAGCAACACCAATTACAAATATACTGAATAAGGCTTACTTGAACTTGATTATATGTAGTGAATTAAATTTTTTGGAAGCTCAACTGGACAGTTTTTCTTCATATTATCCGCAGATCCTAACCTGAACATATCCTTTACCTTTACTTTTTGGGCGTTGATATGGCATATCCCCCGTTTGAAGTGGCGCCTCCAGCTTTACCTTGAGGACATTTGCGCAATCTAGTTGATTTCAGTTCGGCTGATTACCAGTCTCACCCAGGCAAATTTGACCCTCAACCTTCACGTCTAACGTCAAACACTGTTAAACCAGACCAGAAGCAAAATATCGAAAAGACTTTTACAGCATTTATGATTGGTGGCATGATCGTCTACCTCAAGGTCATTCTGACTGCTGATGTTAAGTGCCCATTTGTGGCTTCACTCCATCCCCTTACTACTAAGAAAAATGCCCGAAGAAATGTGGTGGGCCTAACCAAAGGCTAAGTAATGACACACAATGTCAGATGATGCCAGAGCTTTGCGAGGTTTACAGAAATTGGTTCAAAGATACAAGGAGTAATAGACTGTCAGAGCACACAGCTGCTCTGACCACACTGACAACAAGTTAAACAATATAATCTAAAGGTCCACAAGTCGTACATTTCAATGATTTTTCTCTGCAGTGTACCTAACGAATAAATTGTTGAGATGTCTTTGAAAAGGCAACGTTAACTGCTTGTATCTTTTCAAAAACATGCAGCCAATAATTACAACGTAACCAGGCAACCACAGCATATGCAACCGAACACGCGAACATCTTATTCCAAGGACTTAAAAGTTTCCGGAAACTTGATCAAGTGAGATAAACAAAAATTTGTTTCGAACAAGAGGTGTACAAAGTGTTCTCACAGAAGGAGTGTTTATTTAAACCTTCTCAAAAATTGCCCACAGAAATCATTCGGTTTTTGCAGGTACTGAGAAAGGAAACTAAATTTTGGATAAATTTGTCTAGTCTGACTTCTCTCTGGATTTCACCTGAACTCTGCTATCATTGATTTCTCTAGAGCATTCACCTAATTAGAGAAGCGAAATTTACGAGTTTCACGAGCATCACTCCCTTGGTGGAAATCTCACATTCACTCAAAAATAGACCACTGTGCCTCGTGATTTTGTTTTTAGGAGAGCCGCAGTAGTCAAGGAGATAGAAAGCACTGTAATCCGACAAAGACATAAAACTACCCGGGAACAACAAGAAGCGACCACCAAGTTATAATGAAGTTTAATTTCAGCCATGAAGTTTATACCAGCTCGAAGAGAAAGTATTGAGTATTGAGAAAAACGACCTTGACATCATCTTTAAATACGGTCACATGCTTGCGTTCTTACATTTGTAATCAAACCAAAGACATAAACGGTACGTTAATAGCTAATTATGCTTTCTTTATTTTTTCATCCTCTACCTTCTGCGATCTGGTAACTATATTATAACACAGCTGAATTATAAAATAGTTGGATTTTCATAACATTTATCTAACGATATAATTGTATCGTTAGATAAATGTTGAATGAAGGATTGCTAGGGTTAAGGACAACTACAACGTATCGTAGTTTATGGGTTGAGTATTCCTGTGATCATTGGACTTACAATGAATTTTAACCCAAGCCTACAAAAGTTCTAATCTTATAAGATTGGAACTGTTAGAATATATTCCAACATATTCTTCGATAATGCCTTTTTATGGTAAATGAAGATTTTATATACCCACCTGGAAGTTCTGGACATCTGTTCCGTCCTAGTTTGGGACTCTTCAGCAGTACGCACCCATCGGGATTTGAACCCAGTACCATCTGGTTACAAGGTGAGCTCGTATACCATTAAGCCCACTGGGAACCGATCCAATGACCCATGAATTCTAACTTCTGCCAATTCACGACATAGCGCAACCCCTAGCCAATGTCTTTGGCGAGTATTTGTCCTCACACCTGACCTGCTGCACCTTACTGGTCATATTAATCTATTGTTAACGTTTAACTTATGGTTGTCGTGTTTTATGACAAATGAACATGTAGGTGATTGATGTTACAATAAATATTGATAATAGTCAGTTTGATTTTCAGTCAGACAGGGACAGAGGTCCAACAGAGAACTTTGGACTGAAGTGCTGCAATTTAAGTTGCCAAACTCCATATAGCACTCAAAGGGTAGACCAAAGATAGAGAAAAAAGATTCAAAACGACCACAGTAAACAGAAACTTGAGTGAGAAAGAGTAGTAACACAGGAAAAAAACATAATGGTTTAGTGGCTGTGGGAGATTATAGTGTGTATGCATCTGCGCCATCCGTTGGGAACGATTTTGGACCGTATCACTAGCCATTAGCATCCCGAGGACTCCAGTCAGATAGCCTACACTTCTTTACGTGACCTAATTAAACAAAGACTTCATGAACTGATGCCAGGTTTTAGTTTGACCACCCTTAACCATTTTCCAACCCAGTCGAATGTCAACTAACATTGCTTGTCGAGGAAGGCGACTGTTCAGCGTGCGAATTTGTGCATTCCACTCTTGGTGTTCTATTAATACTACCTTAAAGGAAAAATAAACCAGACTGTAAATATAAGACATTAACGTGAAGGCGAAATGGTTAGTTTCGGAGTGTGGCATTCTTATTTAGTTATCACAATTCCATTTCTTTAACTGAATATAGTGTAATACTGTGTTACAGTCATTCAGTTCAGCGTACAATAATCTTCAAAATATATTTATTTTATATTCTAGTTTAAATATGAACTCACTGAAGATGGAAAATGGTTATTCCATCCCTATTCTTGGGCTTGGAACATGGAATGTAAGCAAGAGAGTCTCTACATAGTACTTTTACAGAGTGCACCTGGTGAAGTTGGTGCAGCTGTGAAGAAAGCCTTGGAAATTGGTTATCGCCATTTAGATTGTGCTTATCTGTACGCTAACGAAGCAGAAATTGGTGAAGCATTGGAGGAATCAATGAAGGAGCTCAATTTAAAGAGGGAGGATATTTTCATAACTTCCAAGGTAACCCATGTGATGTTGATTATCCTATGCTAGTTATGGAATACATTTTTCCGTCCAGAAAACGTGAGAAAGGGATGTGAAGCTAGCTTGAAGAATTTACGTCTAAAGTATTTAGATTTGTTTCTGGTTCATTGGCCGGTCCCACTTGAAGTAAGATTAATATACAAAGCTTTCTTCATCTATTAATAATATAGCCTGGTAAAGGGTGTTTACCTACAAAAGAAGATGGAAAGTTTTGTTTGGATATTGTGCCCCATCTAGAAACATGGAAGGTTTGTTTGTTATTTACTGATATTTTATTTAATTTTGAAATCGTAACGTACTCATCATTGACGTTCTGTGACACTAATTATTGTAGCATTTTATTTGACTTGTGTTTTGCTGTGAAACTTGTCATGTTCGGTACACAGTGCTCACTTGTAATTATTAGTTTTTCTAGATACAGAGATGGACACTATGGTGTAAAGTTAATCCTCACTATCGAATATATAATATAACCCTGAAGTCTAGCACTGGGCAGTGCAATACTATCTTCCCTTTTCTACCCTGTAACTTGTTAGGCTAAGAAAATTCAGAGATTCATTTGTGTGTTATATTCGTTTTGTGAGGAAATTAAATCCACTGGTGATGTGGTCTAAGTCCTAACGAACTAACTAACTGATATCCACTATAATATAAACGTGAAATTCTTCACTGATCTCTGTCAAACATTTTCTCACATAATGCGTCAGTAGTGAGAAAAATAAACGGCTTCAAAAGTTGGAAAGTGGTTGAGAAGCGCTATGCGTATTCGTTGTCTAACATGTAGTAAGAGTAGAATAAAACATTGGCTGTGGTTGTTTATATCATTCACTTAACAAATGATTAGAACTAGGCTTGTGTTATATCTCTCAATAGTCATATTGCAGGTCTTGATATAGTTGCTTCTAGTTAAAAGTCATTACTTTTATCAGTGTTGTGTTTTTATCAGTTTTATAGTGTGTTAATTTTTAACGCTGGTCATGTTTTGATTTGGCATATCTAATGTTAAATATGCTTTTGATTTATTCAAGGAAATGGAGAAATTGGTCGATGAAGGTTTAGTAAAATCTATTGGCCTTTCAAATTTCAATAAACGACAAATTGAAAATATCCTTAAACATTGCCGAATTAAACCAGTCAATCTGCAGATTGAAATCCATGCAAACTTTCCAAATATTAAATTGGTTGAATATGCACAATCAGTTGGTATGACTGTGACTGCCTATGCACCTTTGGGTTCACCTACGGGTTTCCCGTAAGATTTCTATTATTATAACTATTCTTTTGACTCTCTGTATGATATAAACTTTATTAGTTTTGCCGGATTTCTTTCAGTCCGTTGTTTGATAAATGATTTTAGATGATGTGATTTCTCCGTAAATCACCTGGTCTGCAGTTGGACAAGTGTTACTGAACATCATGATGCATGTCTTTCTGCTGAACAGTAGGCTACTCCTCTCGTTTGTAAACATATCATACTATGTAACTGCCTGATTCTTTGTAGAATGATCAAGTTTTAAATGTGACCCCATTGGTTGAGTCAAGTAAACACTCACGGTGATTATTCATTCGAAATAATCACCTTCAACTTAAAGATATAAGAGTAACTTAGACATAAATGAGCAATCTGTTCTACTTATACAAGTGTCTACTTTCTTTTAGTTCAACTTCCCTTGATATCCTCAAACTAGATACACAAATCAAGTTCGGTGATATGTAACGACAAGAAGATTTTAATCTTCATAATAGTGTAAAGTGGTTTTCATGTTAATGAATGTCATTGTCAAAATTTTGAGTAACCCTTACCACTTGTCTTCTGTCTATTATTTGTGCTTCAAATGACACTGGATGTTTCTACTATTTATTTATTTATTGGCATATTGTTTCGCATACCTCTTATACCACCAATATGAGGTTGCATGTGTGAGTCTTAATTCAAAGCTTGACATCCTATGGGTCACTTACTTTGTAACCTACCTAACGCGTGTTTACATGTCGTGAGTATCATGAAGTGAACCAAGCTATGGCCGATATCAGGTGGCCTTGTCTTCTTCGTACAAATATCCGACTTGTTTACTTATTCCTTCTTTCGCATTGATTATGATATTGGTGAGTCGGTGGCATAGCGGTCAGGACGCTCGCCAACCATGCACATGGTCTGGAGCTCGATCATCGGCCGACGCACTCCTTTACCTCGCTAAGCCAGAAATAATGCTGGTCAAGAGGAAAGGTTGGGCATGAGGCTAGCAAACCCGTCCTGTAAAAAATTAACACTGCTACAGAAACTTCAAGCCACTAGCTTGAAGCCCTATGTTCCACTGAAGAACTTGAAGGAAAATATATATATGATATTGGTGTTGATCTTCATAATAAAGGTTCAGAGTTTTTGTGTGGCGTTTCATTCATATTGAGGACGGCTAGCCTGATGAAAGTCACTGGCATGGAACAAATTTGTCTAGTGGCAAATTACTATATTCACCAACTTGTCAGATGATGAAGAGCTTGCTGCAAATTATTATGTGCGTCGGTGGCACAGTGGTTAGGACTCACGCCGACCATGCACATGGTCCGGGGTTCGATCCCCTGCCGACGCACACCCGATATCTATGGCTGGCCTGCAAAATTTGGGCTTCCGATATCTATGCTGAAAATTCCATACTTGTACTGAAAATACGGTGTGGAATCAAGCTGTAATAAAAAATTGTAACATTAGGTTGGCTTTGAATACATGAATGCTATTCATAACATTCTTAAAAACGAACCCATGTGAGCAACACTCAGATATTATCCTAATTTGAATGCACTTAACAGTCAGTTACACCTTAAATAAGTTAGTCACCAAAATCTTTCACCAACATTAGTATAAAATGTCCACAGTCGAATATCTTCTGTTTTTAATGTGCATGTAGAGATACAACTTATTTTGTGTTTAACATTCTGTGCAAAGCAGTGAATCACATCTAGTACGTCTAACCTTGTAATACTGTCTGAATGGTGCAGTACTTCAAGGTGGAACTGCCTTGGTACATATAAACCAAGTAAGATGCTCTGTTTTCTTTTTTTATTAATTGTATAATCCAATTTCAATTTTTCACATTTTCCCAGGGGAAAAACAGATCTGCTTACAGAACCATGGGTTGTGGCAATCGCTGAACGTCACAAAAAGACACCAGGTCAAGTTCTTATACGCTACTTGGTTCAGAGGAATCTTATTGTAGTTCCTAAGTCTGTAACACCGAAAAGAATTGAAGAAAACTTCCAGGTATATTGATTTGTATTAGTGTAGTTTTTTTTCAAAGCAAAGGTTATTACCTTTGCCACGATTGGTCATAGTCTTTCACTTCTTAATACGACTGTCTGCATCTTTTTTCCTCGGATGCCTAACTCGTTTCCTATTCGGCTTCCACCTGAGAACCTGCCTGGCGCTTGATGTTACTCAATGGTTGTCTCAGCATGTGTAGAATCCATTTCCATTTTATTCTGCATATTTGTTGGGTGATAGGATTTTGGTTCGTCCTTTAACCGAGTTCCTTGTTGCCTAACGCTTCTGGCTGACCGTCTGATCTTCAGTAGTGAGTTAAAGAAAGCAGGGTTTCGTGAAAGTCCGCAGCAGCCTATGAGAAATGCTTTTAGGGGCGAGGTACCAAGTTTCTGAAGCATATGTTGAAAATTCAGATCTTATTCCTTGTCATTAGTTTAGTAGATTTCCACATTGATTTCAGAGGTTTGTCTTGCATTCTGCACCAATCCTGGCTGACTTTGACATCCTTATCTGTGCTACCATTCGTAGTTTAGGAAGTAGTAGCAGTAGGTCAAGTGAATGGAGACGACTTCTTTTGAATTTATCCCGGTGATATTGATTGGTGCTTGTTTTAGTTGGTTGGGTGTATTTACCACCTGTGTCTGTTCTATATTCACCTAGACTCCTGTCTTCTCTACCTCTTCTGCCAACCTGCTGAATTTTCTCCTGTAGAGATGTCAGAGTTTTTTGCAACATGAGACATAAATCATCCACAAGGTTCAGATGTTCTAAAATCCTTTCAACGTATAACCTGTTGTCTTGTTTCCTACAGTTTGTTCAGCAATCCATTCCACTACAACCGGGAGTATCCTTTTTGTCTCACTCTCGGATATGAGAAGTATTCATAAGTGAAATGATGAATTATCTATTGTATCCAAAGTTTTTGATTGAGATAGTGAAAGTTGGCTTTATTTTTTTTTACCAATTTTTAACTGCATGTGGATTTGTGTTTTTTTCTGCAAATTATACTTCAGTGGTGAGAAGTGAATAATTCGACCTATACATATCTATCATTATTGTTTCCTTTAGTTCCTAGAGGGACGTCTCCATTGCGTTCGATCCTCCTCCAACGTTTTCACCTGGCTCCACGTCTGCCCACATGCTTTCATCTCCTCTTCACATAACCTCCTCTATGTCACTCTCGCACTGACAACCACTCGCCGCTTCCCATTCGGGTTCCACTTGAGCGATGGCCTGGGGTGTGATGTCACTTGATGGTTTTCTCAGAGTATGGCTTCCAACCCACCTCCATTTCTCCCTGCATATTTGTTGCACAGTTGGTTCCTGCTTGGTTGGTTCGTACATTGCCAGAGATCTCTGTTTCTGATCTTTTCTGACCGACCATCTGATCTTGAGTAGTATTGAGTAGAGACAGCTGTTGATGAAGGTCTGTAGTTTGTTCGAAGTGCTCTTCGTGACGAAGTGCCAAGTCTCTGATCCGTATAGTAGCACTGACTTCACATTGGAGTTGAAAATCTGGATCTTATTTTCTACGCTGAGTGCTGTTGACCTCCACACAGACTTGAGAGTAATGAAAGCTTGTCTTGCTTTCCCGATACTCGCTTTGATATCCTCATCAGTTCCGTCCGCCTGTATTTGAAACGATGCTTTCCAGGTAGGTGGGTAGGTAAAGGAGGTTGCTTCTTTCTTTCTTACTTTCTCCCATTTATTCTGATTTTTATCTGTCGTTGTTGTTGCTGTTGCTGTTGATCAAGAATCTCCATTGCCTCTGTTTTCTCCATGTTCACCTGAAGTCCTATCTTTGATGCTTCTTCTATCTCCAACTTGTTGCTTTTCACTTGCATATCTTCCAGTTTGTGGGAAATCAGACACATATCATCGGCGAAGTCCAGATCCTCCAAGTTTCTTTTTGTGTGGGTCCATTTTATGCCTGTTTCCTCACTGCCCACTGTCTGTCGCATTATCCAGTCTACCGCAATCAGAAAAATCATTGGAGATAGTAGCCAGTCAGCTTGTCTTACTCCCGTCTTTACTTCGAAGGATTCCGTGAGTTTCCTGTTGTGGATTACTTAACATGCAGCATTATCGTACAACTGTTGGATGAGGTATATAATTGTTGGCGGCACCCCGTAGCAGCGAATTATTCGCCAAATCACCTCTCGATCGACGCTGTCTGCTGTAGACCTTTTCATAGTCGATAAAGTTGAGGTAAAGAGCTGACTATCTTCCCAAGCTCTGTTCAACGATGATAGGCAGTGTTGCGATTTGGTCGATGCATGACTTGTTTCTCCCGAATATATATATATATTTCCCTAACTAAAATATGCAAGTTGAAAGTTTGATGTTCTGCGCTTGTTGATGCAAAAAGTTCACACGACTTAATACCTTATTTATGACGCTATGAACACTAATCTTTTCTATTGTAGGTATTCGATTTTCAACTATCCGATGAAGAAATGCATGATTTAAATACTAAAGGTTTGAATGACCGTCAGTTCAAATTGTTACAGTAAGATTTTTTGTGTTCTTCATGATGTGATTATGAAGTATGATGTATATATATATATATATATATATATATATCGTGTATACAATAATATAATAAAACATGTGAGAAAAATAAGTAGAGAATGAATGAAGGACTTCATCCTGAGAGGATATTCGTCGTATTGCTGTTAGAAATGGAAGAAAGAAGGAAATTGCAGCATGTTCGCCATTGATTACGCGATTCTTGGCCATATCCGATAACGTTTCGATCCACGGATTTGAGTTATCTGTCGGGCCCCAATCAGGGAGTTGTGACTCACCAACCGATGCTAACCTGTCATAAATATCCTTCATCCGACGACACCACGTCATAGGCTGGTTGACCACTTCTTCCATCCTTTCCCAGGACTAGCGAACAGAGACATGTTCAAGCCACCGAAGTCAGTGTTTCGAGATGATGACACTGAATGAATGAATGGCGATCTCCAGTGTGTCCAAACACACGCTGCCGGACCTCAGAATTACTCACGATGATACCATCGAATGTAAGCAATTCTCTGGAGACAGCGATAGTTAGATACGCAGAGTTGCCGCACATCCTCAACTTGGAGAGGCCAGGTTTCACAGGCGTAGAGAGAGAGAAAGACTACGCTCACTGAAGCATTGTAGACCTTACCTTTGACAGCTAGGCTAACGTCGTGACGGCTCCAGAAGTGGCTGAAATTAGCCTGTGCCATCCTGTCTTTCATGATACGGTCTCCATTATCCAGATATTGAAGGATTTTCGAAACTATTCACAAAGGTTTAGACTGTTATTCATCGTTATGTAAACAGTATTGATAGTTGTATAATTTTCCCCTTATATTGAATAGAACATTCTCAGGTAGACAGTGTTAATAGTCCAACTTTTTGGTCAACTGTCATGTGTCGGTGTCTAGCACAACCGCAAACATTTTCATTCTTTATTTTCTCCATATATTGTGTAATCCAATACATTTTTGCCATTAATAATAATGACAATAATGATCTGCTTTATTCCAATACCGGTGCTTATAGTACAGCATTTGTCACAATATTGCATCGAATCAACCACATTTAGAGTAGGAATAAATGTCAAAATTGTGTAAAGTATAAAATGAGAATAATAACGACACACCAACCAACAACAGCAACATCCAACGCCAATCACCATCAACGGGAGGGATTTGAAAGAGGTTACTTCATTCACTTATCTAGGGAGCATTGTCTCAACTACAGGAGGAACGGACGAGAATGTCAAATCGAGCGAGAATCGGGAAGGCGAGAAACACATTCATCAACCTGAAACCAATCTGGAAATCTTCGTCACTCAGCATCAACAACAAAATTTGGATTTTCAATACAAACGTCAAGTTAGTCAGTTCTTCTATACGGATCAGAAACTTGGTGGGTCACAAAGAATATTTCCAGCAGCCTGTTGCAGACCTTTATCAACAGCTGTCTTCGTTCTATACTGAAGATCAGATGTCCGGAAAGAATCACCAACAAGAAATTATGGGAACAAACAAAACAAGAACCAATCGCCCAACAAATATGCAGGAGGAAGTGGAGATGGATTGGACACTCGCTCGCTGAGGAGGCCGCTGGGTGACATCGCGCGTCAGGCCAACGCTCGAGTGGAACCCGAAAGGGAAGCGGCGAGTGGTTCGTCGGTGCAAGGGTCACATGGAGGAGATCGTGTGAAGAGGAGTTGAAAGAGTATGGATTAACATGGAGGCAGGTGAAAAGTACAGCAGAAGACAGAAACAAGTGGAGACGTGCAGTTGAAGCCCTATGTTCCACTAGGAACCCAAGGGAACAATAATAATAATAGTAATGATAACAGTAGGCTTGTTTCAAACAATATTGTCGATACAGTATGAAAATTTTAGCATGTTGCAGAATATTGAATCTAATGTTCTCCTGACATAGCATGATGAGGGGAAAACAAAAGATAACAACGATTACAGAGCTTAAATGGTGTCTACAATTATGAAAAAAACAATGGGACTATGAATATGAGGGGAATAATAACTGTAAAACTTGATGGTATAAGGATGGAGAAAATTGTTTATTCGCTAGTGGAAAGAAGGTTAGTCAATTCCTACCTGACACCACTTTCATCACATAAAATACTTACCAAATAGTGTATCGCGGAATTTTTACACTTAATCGTGCGCAGATAAAGTTCTGAAATAACTTCTTGTTCCACCTGAGGAGATGCAAGGTTGGAGCTGCTGGTAAAGTGGATGCTCACAGTCTGACAAAATCCCTTTAGCAAATTTATTGCATGAAATTAAGTGCCTATCATCAATGACGATGTCAACGATATGGCCCAATGGGATACCAGTCGTTCTACTAACAGTTTTCACAGTTCTACGAAGTATGTTTGACATAGTCTTATTTTAAGCAGGCCAGGGGAAAGAATAAGAGTGAACAGTGAAGAAGAAGAAGAATAGGTAGGATGCAAGAGTTGACCAACTGTAAGAGCAGGAGGGGGTTGAGTTCTGCCTGTGTGCCTTAACTTCTTAATGTAGACTGTCAGACGGAGTATTTTACTAGAAATCGTTAAGACGTGGGAAGACCAGGATAGATCAGAAGTAAGAATTAATCCAAGATACTTGTTGTCAGACTTGATTTCTATATCTCAATATCATCAATTTTGCAGCAGTCATAGCGGTTAACAGTTTCATTTAACTTTCTTGTACTTTTTCTTTTCATAGAATGAGTGATCATCCTGAATATCCATTCAATGATGAATATTAATGAAGATGTGAAAAAACTAAAGGGGAAATGAGAAAACTTTGAAAAAACAACTATCGTTGCTATACGTTCATATTCCCCTTTGGACATAAATCTTGGTTTATTAATCGATTCATATTGCTGCAGACCTCTGTATGATGTATGTGTGTTTGTGTATGTAGAGAACATGCTACGAAATATAATGCCCTTTCTTAAATAAAATCTTTCTTTTCAATAGTTCAACTCTTTAATAATTACAATTTATTTCTAATTTAGATGTGATGAAATAAACTAAGCTAAACACTGTTTCTTCCGCTTCGAAATGTAGTCTAGTGTGGTTCTTTCGTTCTAGTAGGCGTACTTTGTGTTATTCTAGGCGAACAGTTCAGTTATAATAGAGATTTTTGGCTCACATAGAGGATTTTGATGTAATTGTGTTCTCTGAAATGAAAATTTTATTCATCTGAACACTGAGTTATGCGGAATGAATCACATTCACTGTAGTTATTAGTTGGAGGATTTCATCATGAGCTGACATCAGTTAAGAACAATAGAATACCTGGGAGCACTGAACAGCTGTTATCTTAGTACGCCACCGGACTACTGGTTACAAGGTGAGCTAGATCGTAACCATTAGCCCAGAACCCCAATCAATAGCCAGCCAATGGCTTCTAACTTCAGTCATTTATTAGTTGTTAAGCAACTATTCACAGTGTAACTTTGATTTCCTGTGGAGTTGTGACCAAATCAATGTGAATTTTTATCACACACACACCAACACATCAGTTACAGAATTATCGAACAATGAAAAGCACTGACAAAGCCATTTCATCTAGTTTGGAAATATTCTGCACTACTCAAACAATACTAACATACATCAAAACATGCTAGTCGGTAACGAAGTCTGGATTGAAATTATAAATCTTTTGAGACCAGTAATTTGTGAGTAATTAGCTGTGAGTCCTGCTGTCATCATGGATCACAAGGACGTTCACTTACAATTCCCTAACTAGTGGAATGTCGCAAACCAGTGCAGTCCACCAAGTACAGTGTGAGGACAAATACTTGTCGACAACACTGAATGGTGGTTCTACCACATATCGCGAAACCGTAGCAGTTAGAATTTTTGGGTCGTTGGAACCCAACCCAATGACTGAATGATCTACGAGGTGGGCTTGTGACCTGAACGTCCTGAGATTCGATCCCTTGTCAAGTCATCGATGCGTGCTGCTGAAGAGTCCCAAACAAGAACGAACCTGTTGGCCAGTACTCTCTGATGGTTTTCAGTGGTTCTCTCTAACTGAAGTCAGTTCGTGATTCATCTTGAAATCAATTGATTCCTTGCAATTCAACACTTGCAAACTACCTAACTGCCATTTTTTGATGCAGTTGTGTTCTCTGAGCTGGATGGTTTACTTGTGGTGCTTTCATTGCCCACCCCCACCCCACTAGGTAACACCTTCACCTCATACTTCAATTTGATGAAGTGAGCTTTTAAATTTCGCCATGAGCTCATTAGTCATCCCTCCTGGTGACATTGAGCGTGATTTGTTGCTTTTGTCTGTTTTCACACCCTCTAGTCTATTTTTGTATTGGTATTGATTGTTTCCTTGACCTGAAATTTGACTTTTTATGCATGCGGTTTTCTTCCTATGGATTGGTAAATTTTATCGATGTCCTTCTGTCTGTTAATTGCTGATTCACTGAACATTGTCCTAGTCGAATTGGTGTCCGTGGTTGTCTGTATGCAGTGATATGAAGGAGTGGATATCATGTCATTTGACGGGTAGTTTATCATCATGGATGCGAAGACGAAGAGGACGTCCACTTCGGCCGACTGCAAACGTTGCGGTTGATTATGTAGATGATGTTGCTGTCATCTCTCACCGTTCAGTCTTTTGATTGACACAGAGCTGAGTGAAGTGATTATTTCGGTTAGAGTGCGACATCAATTTTTCTAAGGATTCGAAGAGTCTTGCACTCATTTCTGAGACGTTATTTATGTATGGTAAGATGATTTTCTTTGTTCCTTGGGGCCTTTGATTTGGTTGGTTGGCTTGGGGGTAGATATCTTTTGATGAAGTTTCGTGGATATTCATTTTTTGGAAGACGTCCATAAGATATTTTTCTTCAGTTTTCCTTAATGTAGAAGTGCTGTGATGAGTCCTCGCTCTCTTGAATAGTGTTTGTATGAAAATCTTTTTGTGTTATTGGTTAGTTGCTGCTGCTATTGAGTAATTGATCTGCTTGGGTTGATTTTCGTAAACTTTACTTCCTAATTTTCCTTGGGTTTTGCTTGACTAAGACGTCCAAAAATGGAATATTGTCCTTGGATTCCTCTTCCCTTATGAATTTGATGTCGTTGAAGATACTGTTTATCAAGTTATTAGTTTTTTCCAACTCGTTTCTTTTGATTATTACGAGTGTGTCATCTACGTAACATATCCAAATTGTGGGTTTAATCTTTGGTAGGATTATGTTTTCGAGTCTTTGCATCACTGCTTCTGCAATCAGACCTGATATGGGAGATCCCATAGGTGTCCCTTGAATTTGTTCATGTATTCGGCTGTTGCACTGAAAATACACTGTTAGACATAGGTTTATGCATTCCACCCAACTAGTGTGTTGCTTTTTTGAGTGTTGTTGGAGGTGGTCGTCTTTGTTGAGTAACTTCTCTATGATTTCTTTTACTAGTTTCTGTCCCGTGATCAGCAATTAACAGACAGAAGGACATCGATAAAATTTACCAATCCATAGGAAGAAAACCGCATGCATAAAATGTCAAATTTCAGGTCAAGGAAACAGTCAATACCAATACAAAAATAGACTAGAGGGTGTGAAAACAGACAAAAGCAACAAATCACGTTCAAAGTCACCAGGAGGGATGACTAATGAGCTCATGGGGAAATTTAAAAGCTCACTTCAAATTGAAGTATGAGGTGAAGATGTTACCTAGTGGGGGGGGGGGGCAATGAAAGCACCACAAGTAAACCATCCAGCTCAGAGAAAACAACTACATCAAAAAATGGCAGTTAGGTAGTTTTCAAGTGTTGAATTGCACGGAATCAGTTGATTTCGAGATGAATCACGAACTGACTTCAGTTAGAGAGAACCATTGAAAACCATCAGAGAGTACTGGCCAACAGGTTCGTTCTTGTTTGGGACTCTTCATCAGCACGCATCGATGACTTGACAGGGGATGGAATCTCAGGACGTTCAGGTCACAAGGCCACCTCGTAGATCATTCAGTCATTGGGACGAGTTCTAACGACCCAAAAATTCTAACTCCTACGGTTTCGCGATATGTGGTAGAACCACCATTCAGTTCTGTTGACAAGTATTTGTCCTCACACTCTACGTGGTGGACCGTACTGGTGACGACTTTCCGCTGGTTAGGAAATTGTAAGTGAACGTCCTTATGATCCAAGATGAAATGAAAGCTTCGATGACAGCAGGACTCACAGCTAATTACTCACAAGTTACTGGTCTCAGAAGATTTATAATTTCAATCGAGACTTCGTCAACAACTAGCACGTTTTGATCTGTGTTAGTATTATTTGAGTAGTGCAGAATATTTCCAAACTAGATGAAATGGCTTTGTCAGTGCTTTTGATTGTTCGATAATTCTGTAACTGATGTGTTGGTGGGTGTGTGATAAAAATTCACATTGATTTGGTCACAACTCTATAGAAAATGAAAGTTACACTGTGAATAGTTGCTTAACAACTAATAACTACAGTGAATGTGATTCATTCTGCATAACTCAGTGTTCAGATGAATAAAATTTCTGTGTGCTTGTCTGTTGGCTTTGCACTTCTCTTGATTGAATAGTTGTTGTTAATTAAAATGTCTTTATTATCTTAATATTATTATTATTCATCCCTGAATGGAAAAAATGCCTCCACAAGGCATCTGCATTTCATTCTGTTGCTTTTACTCCTCTTAAACTGGCTTTATGACTGCCAGTAAGCTCTCATCTCCACACACGATTTCCTACTTGGCACCATCGGCCGTTCAACTCGTTTCTTATACGGGTTCCACTCTAGGCACTGCCGGGAATGCAATGTCATCCAACGGTCTCCTCTGCGTTTGTCCAGCGCATTTCCAATTTATTCTGCGCATTTATTAGACAATGGGTTCTTGTTTCTGACAGACCATCTGATCTTCAGTATGGAGGCATCGAAGGCAGCTGTTGATAAAGATCTCCAGCCGGCTGCTATTAGAAATACTTTTCGTAATGCATGTGTCAAGTTTCTAATGCACGCATATGGAAGAACCGACTTGATATTAGGGTTTAAAAAACTTCAGTTAATAAATCTACCGAAATTATGAGAACTTGGGGTAGGTTTAATACAAATTCATTCTATACTGCTAAGTGAAATTGTTTGAATGTGCATAAACCGAACTAGAATGACTGTATTCTTTTGTCTGTACAATAATAATTGACGTTTATTTCCATATAATAATTGAATATGATTTATTTCTCTTGATAAATTTGAACAGAGCAAGAGGAACAAATTGAGTAGGATAGAATGACCTTATTATATTTTTTAAATTCCTCCAAAGCCTCAGGATGGTCGGGGGTGGGTGCCTTGCGCTGCGGGTTGGCCACCCCTCCGCACACCTCTTGAAATGCTCCCATATGACCGGGCGTCTTACATAGCCTCTCCTGAGGAAGTCCTACTCACTGCCTTCACGTGGCGGAGGTGTTTTTCACCAAAGTGAGAGGGCGAAAGCGGATGCCCGGCGCTCTTCACCGGGTTGACTGTCCATTGGATGACAGTCTAGGGGAGATGGCTAAACCCTGATTCCAAACCTCCAACGACTGTCGTATGAAGCTCACTGGAGCTCACCGGCAGACGTATGGACAAAGGGCTTGTTCGATGTCCTGGATGTCTGGCCCCATTCAAAAAGGCGTATGAACCGAACTCCGGTCACCGGCTGCTAATGGATAGTGGACTCCCTACTCCACTCCTACTGCCTTGTAGGTCACACTTGGTTGTGTAAAGGCTAGAGCTGCACTCTCAAACAAAAGGCCGAGTGGTTCTGGGGACATCACTCGTACCAAATTCCCATGAAACTTCGTAAACTCTCTTCATCAGATCGCTGCGCCTGGGTAGCGATGATTTGAGAAGTTCATGAAGCCGGCTCATCCTTCCGTAGGAGATAGCCGAAGCAAAGTAAAGTAAGTAAGTTTTAACTGTATACAATCGTAAATAATG